TAGCAGCCATACCCAGCTGGTCGATCAAAAAAAGCGTTAAATTAGAATGGAGCAAAAACAGTATCATGTTTAGATGTAACAAAATCTATCTTCATCAATTACTTTAAAGTACTTTCATTAAAAAGATTTTGAATTAATGCATTTACTTATATAACAGAAATAGTCTATATTTATTCAAATGAAGTTTGCCAGGACATGAAAGGGTAAAACAGACACTCGTGATGACCCACTTCAGACCACAATTATTTTGAAGTTTTTTGAAATTGAATTTTGTGCTACCAGGGATGTAAAAGAGGATACATTTATAAAGCAATTGCTAAGTTTGATGAAAATTGGTTGAAAGATCAACCAAAAATAAGAAAGAAACGAATAAAAATCGCCATTTTTCTCTATTTACGCGGGATTTCATTATATGGGTGAACTCAATTATCAAATTAAATGACTGTTAAACAATCAACTACAATGGCTACAATTGAGTGAATTTTATATTAGATTGTTTGAAAATTGAGGGAGATTTTAGATTAAAATTTGTGTTGAAATCGATTTGTGTTGAAATCGATTTTTTGTTTACTCGCGGCTTTTTCGCTAAACGCAGTGGCGTAGGAATAAAAATGAGGTATCATTGAGCTAGTCATGATGTAAGTAACCTACGAGTTTGAACGGAATCGGAGGAAAAAGTTGAATTTATCAATATTTGATCGGCTTTATCGATTATTGATATTTTAAAAATTATCGATTTTTTACGCTAAAAACCCGTCTCTTACACTGTACAATGCACGAGCCAAGTTTGGTCAAAATCGGTTGCATGGATCTCGAGTGGAAAGGTATCACGCAGACAGACAGACACACAGACATCCTCTGTTTTATATATATATAGATATTGCCTCTGTCCATTTATTTCAAACAGTAACAATAAAGTAATATATTTATCAGTGCTATTTTTATTTCATTTTTAGAATTGTTATTTTTTTTTGTCACGTGTTTTGTCGTAAGTAGGAAAGCTTGATACACATATAGAAAATAAGAAGCAGTTTATTCCGGAGAATAATATGGTACACGGTTGAGAACACAAACTAATGTAATAAACAGTTAATCGTTAACTCCTCGGTATTTACTCGAAACCTCGCCCCACAAGGCCGGTTTTTATGTGGGGCGTTCCGAGCCCGTAGACTCGGGCAAAAATTCCCCGTAGACCCCGTATACACGGGGTCGGGTAGCTGTCTACCTCCCCTTATCTGGGTTCCTTTCAGCCCAGACAGAGAGTCGACAGGCAGAGTTAATTGTAATCGTTAACTCCTCTTCTTCAGTAAGAGAGATTGCTGCTTAAATAGTCTTAGTCTAGTCCATTATGTGGGGGTGTTCAGCTACTCCGCAACATCACGAAAATAAACAACAAACTAGGCCAAAGTCGAAGAGGCATATTACCATATTTTTTTTATAGATTAATAAATTTAAATTTATTTATCAAAATAAATCATGCGCAGTCGTATATAGGATATAGGAGGCCCGCGGATAGTAAAATCATCGAGCCGTGTTCAATTCCCGGTTGATTTTGTTTCGTTCACTAGGCGCTAATGTTTTTTGACAAAACATAAATGCGAATCCATATTCCTTCAGTTATGAAGTTAAATAGCAAGACAGACTGAGCCTTCTTGCTTTGGGTTTAACCAGTCTAGGAGAAAAAAAAAACAAACTCTGAATTTAAATTCTGACGGGAATAGGATGGGCACTGTCAGACTATCTTTCCATAAACGCACCATCGTTTCTTTAATTGCTGTAGATGTGGTGCCCTTACAAACTTAATGGTTACAGGTGTCATTGCGAGTCTTACATAACACTTTCTAATAGTAATTCTAACAAAGACAGAGATGGTATGATGCAAAGATTCAAATATCCAAGGTAGCAGTCTACTTCAGGACGTAGGTGGTAATGGTTACCTAAAACTTTGATTTGAAGAATACCATACACAGTGTGGCATTACTTTTGTAGAAGATAGTTAGATTCTCACGGTGCTTTATATTTGTGGCTTTATGCCATAAGCATCAATAACTGAAAGTTTTAAAACAGTTCTCTTGAAGAAGGACAATTTGATGTTATAGAACTAGGAGGCCTCATTACCCTTTTAGTAAGTTCGATCCTCACCTGGTGTCCTTCCCATACTTTTGCCGTCGTGCTGTACTAAGTTCAGTAAATTATATAGGACTTTTTACGATGATGCGCCCTCTGTACAAGGCACAAAAGCCACTCGAGGTAGCTAGTTACAGAGCAAGAGGTACGGTTCATGGGGATATGTGGGGAAGATAACGGTTAACACTAGACTTGAACTAACCTTCCAAGCTTAAACCCGCCATGACACGCACATTGTAGCGAACTACCCTCGTTCCCTTCGTATTCCATTAGTGAGGAGTAAGTTCCATTCGAACAGCATCTTCCCACGAATCTCTATTTGTGGAACCGACTTTCAAGATGATGCTTCTCTGACCACTAAATTTTTAGGGTT